TTTCAATTTCAAGAAGACCTTTAAAGCTGTGAACAATGCTTTAGAGGCTCATTGGGAAACATTTGACCTGGCAACACATGGTCTTGGGCCTGCTGTTATAAAGGGCACTTTTTCATTCATTGATGCATGTCTTAAAGAGAAAATGAAAGCACTGAAATAAAAAATACTCCCCAGATGATTACGGTTTTTCTCCACTTTTACTTTATACACTCGTTCAAATGCTTGTTTTTTTTGTTGATGTACACTGTAATGTCTTTATTTGTCTTATTCTGCAGAACAAACAATTTCATCGTTTATTTTGATCTGCTTACATTTATAGATGCTTGAACCCTCACTACAAATGACAACTACTGGCCTGTTTGTGATGACTTTTTTAATAGACTCAATACAATGAGCAATAAACAAGCAGTTTGTAGTAAATTATAGATTGCATTGATGTACCTAATGTTTTGCTTTTTTAATGCAATTTATGAATTGCCAAACATTTTAAATTGGGAACATTTTTAGTCCGTAATGAACACTGCAGTAGGATTGTGTTGCAACGTCAGGTTTTATTTTTTGCCTCTTTACCTTTTATTATTGTTGGGTTTTTTTTGGTTACAAATGTAATTGATCGTGAGTACATGTTTTGCCCTTTTTATCTGTATGTAGTGCAGAAATGTTTCTTTTTCTTGACAGAATACTAAAGTTTAAAAACAAACAAAAAAAAAAACTAGTTTGTGTGCCCTCTCTACCATCTTGTACAGCTCCTTGTTTGAGCTTTTGGCTCTCTGTTCAGTGTTTTCTGGCAATATGGATTATTGGCGGTTTACTCATAAGGTGTCAGTGGAAGGTAAAGGATGTTATGAACCAAAATACAGACACATTTTACGTTATGACTTTTAGCTATGCATGTGCAAAAATTTGGACTTTTGTGATTTATAGTCCCTACAGTCCCATCACTGTGAAAGACCGTGAGGTTTTCATCATCTGAGATATATGAGTGACTATCAGTGATTTTGTTTCTAGCAAGATAGAATATTGATTTGTTGCAAGATTTAAAAATTGCCTCAACAACAGGATTAGCACACCAAGGAAATGTAGAATATGAAAAATGTGCCGGCATTACTTCTCTTAAGTATCTGTTGTTTTGTGTTAAAGGGCTAGTTCACCCAAAAATGAAATTTTCATCTTGACACTGTATTTTTGAGATATATAGTGATCAGTAGCTCCAACAGCTCTTTTTTAAAGATGACCCACAGTGCAGCCTGTAAGTGTAACACGATGTTCACCAAGGGATTTGGCAAAATTGTTCACAGGGTGTAATTTCAGCAGGCTAAGTAGTAATTTGTGTGCAAATTATAACTGCTTCCAAATATTTTATTCAAGGCAAAAGTAGTGACTTTTTTTTTGTGAAAAAAAGATAAAATATTCAGCAGTACAAGAAGTGGCCAGTCAAAAGATTGATGTCAAGAACATTGTGTGCGTCATTGTGCTTATCTATTTTTTTCCACTGCTCTGTTTGGATCACTCGATTTCTCACTGTCAATGGTCTCTGCCCTGAACTCAACTAGTGACCCAGTGCCGTTGTTTTGATTTCTTTGTGTCTACTTTTTTGTTGCCTGCAGGTTTTGCCATCAGGCTGCTGGAAGATCTCTACCCTGTTGTGTCTTTCATCAGATAGGTGAGTTACCACTCTCTTTATACGGTGCGCTGTTTTTTTACTGCTTGCTATCTGGGTTCTTGTCTCCCTTTTGGCTTGCTAGTTTGGGAGGTGACGTGATGTACAGGGCTCGGGCTAACATGGTTTCGCTAGCGACTGGCCTTATTTCATTCATCGTTCAACAAACATGCCTCGGGCAACGGATTTACTTTTTCCTTCTCTCTCTCTCTCTCTCTTTTGTTTTTGCATAATTTTTTTAGTTTTGTACCTTCAACAGAAATTTAGCGTCATGCTCTTCCATTCATCTGGTCAAACCACAGCATCCCGTCCAAGCTTAGCTCACCAACTGCTGGTCACATAATACTCCGTTCCCTGATCCCCTTATTGGTAATGACCAGCAGCATACCTCATCATTCATTTGTAATGCATGGTGTCTTCACTGTGTTCATCTGAACTTTCAATCCATCTCAGATAAAGCCCTTTATATCAACGAAATTATCACTGACAACATGCTCAATATATTTCTTCTCACTGAGGCCCTGTCCAGACGAACGCGGTTATTTTTAAAACCGCAGCTGTTTCTACACGGTTTGGCCGTTGGTCCACACGCAAGCGCAGCACCAAGTCACTGAAACCGAACATGTTTGAAAACGCCTGCCAGGGTGAAGATTTTCTAAAACTCTGGTTGCAGTGTTATCGTGTAGACAGCGAAACCGGAGATTTATGCTTCTACTCCTGCCTCTGCTCTGATCACTTCACTGCTGTTTTAAAAGGACAGGACAAATAGTCAGGCTTCGCTCAGATGCTCTACCAATAATATTTTGCTTCCCTACACATCTGGAATAGGTAGACATTAGACAATTACTTGGCTAAGATTTTTAATTACTTGGCTAGATTAGATGTCTTCTACAGACCATATAAGGCAACATTTTAAAAAAGTCTTCACCCACTTTTTTGCACTTTGTTGCCAATTTTCATGTAACCAAGCAAACAAAACAAATGAAGGCATTTCAATGGCAACAAAGGTACTGGAAGGTCTGCACTCATGCAAAACAAAATCGTGCACTTAAAAAAATAAATAATAATTAAAATTAGAGCAGACATCAAAGAAAGCCTTTAAATGAAGAACAGCACATTGCCAAAATGCTCTCATACTGTAGTTTAATAGTAGAAAAACATTCAACCATTTCTGTCTTCATGAAGTAGTCAAAAACATAATAACTACAGAGTCTTTAAATACATAAACCTGAATAGGTGGGGACAAAAATCAAGACAGCAATTAACCAATGAACACACTGTATTTCCCAAAATGATTCAATAAACAATAAACCAAAAAAGTCATGAAACAACAAAAATACCAAAATAATTCCAAAAGTCCTTTTGAGAATACATTTTAAGCAAGTTTTAAACAATTCTTTGTAAAAGTTGATGTCAACATGTCTTAATGTCGCCAAGAAAATAAGCTCATTAGACAGGTTTTTATTAACAAATTTCTCAATTAAAATGTGACGACTGATGTTATGGCAGCAAAACACTCACAAACCTGCTTATCTGATTAATGATAATAGATATTATGACCTTACATATTCCTGGATCATTTTTCATAAAATGTTTGACACTTTAAATTTGACTTTAAATAACAGATTTCCAATGTGACCTTGTGTGTATGATCTTTTCCTTTAATGTAGTACTTTGCTCATCAACATCATTGTAATTAGAAATCTTAAAGTAGAAAGTCTTAAAGACAAACACATTCTAAATGTTCTAAACACATTCTAAATATTAGAAATTTACTGCTGAAACTGTACAAAGCCTGTGAACTATGTAGTAATTGAAGCAGCGCTGCGCAGACCGATCAGTGTTTGACATCAAAATATAGCGAGACCGTTAGTCACTTAGACCGTTAAATAGTTTTTCACCATTTTTGTGTTCAGGATGTTTTGACGGACTGGAGCCACTGAGAATGGCCCCTCCCCTAACACTATAAGAGGTGTGTTGGACTTGAAGCAGCGCTGCGCAGATCGATCAGTGTATGACATCAAAGCACCATGAGAGCTATAGAGAGCAGACGGTTTCTTATGCTTTCGAATCGCTCTCGAGGTACTTTTATGTCATAAAGCGCTGCTACAAGTTGAATACACGTAAAAACTAGAGTGCATTAGCCTCTGTGGTTCGTCCGCTCAATCGCGAGTTAAGCTGCGGTCACACTACACTTTTCGTTCCACTGACTTCCATTCATACGCATGTGAATGCGTCAGACCGGAAACGCAAACCCGTGCGTTTTCGCATTTCGCTGCGTTCCAAAGTTAAAGCTTGGTGAACTCTGGCCTGCGAATTCGCATCACGTGACACCGTGTGACCAACGGCAGATCGATACGTCACAGCATGACCTCTTTATCTGAATTAAGAGAATATAAATCTAAAACTGCAGCGCTACAGGAAAAGTGGAGTAGATTGTAAATTTTAATATTTTAGGTGTATTATTATTGTTTACGTGTTGAATATACGTTTTTTAAAAGACGCTGCAGAGCATGACGTCATACTACAATCGTTGCAGCGACCGAACGAATTTCGCATGCTCAAAGTGTAGTGTGACCGCGGCTTTAGTCGACTGTCATAACCATTAGTTACTACTGCCCGATTTTAGCAGACATGCCCCCAGCATTTGAGAGCAGAGAATACTGCTTATTTATTCAAGATTTTGATACCTTATTTTATTTAGTTGGCTGGGTTTTTAATCATTTAAATTTGGCTGGGTGGTTAATACATTTTTCTGTGGTATGATAAACTCAGAACACAAATTTAATATTGTTTTACACAGACTTTAAGGGTGCTTTCACACCTGTAAATCGATTGCTTTGTTCCGAAACGGGGATTAAAATTATTACAATGTTGCTTTTTATTCTTGGTGCGGTTCGCTTTCACACGGCAAAGTTTCTAAACGGACCAAATTTGTTAATACAAGTCACGCGCGAGTAAACTGTTCTCTCATTGGTCAACGTTTCACTGTTTATTTTCCGGGATTCCACCACTGTCATCCGTCAGGATGGAACGACAACAGCTTTGCGGGCTTATTGTTGGGCTTTGGTTTTTTTTGTAGCTGTCCTTATATTAATTTATAATTTTGAGCAGAAGTCCAGGATTCATCGGGAAAACATTTTTAAAATGCACCCACTAGGAAGAAGAGCAATAAGACGGCATTATAAAATGAAAGTGTGCTTTTTTAATCTCGGACCGATTGTTTTGGCGCGGATCCGAGCGCGATTGCCGTGTTCACATATGCCCAAACGAAGCAAGCTAAGGGGGGAAACGCGCCAGGTTCCGAAACCACGGGCCAGGTGTGAAAGCTCCCTAAGAATACTGAACTGAAAAACTGCAACATGCATAGCAGTAACCTCTTTTGCTCTGAAAGCTAAGAGCACCAAATACAACAGAACCATAAGCTGTCATTAACTCCATTTAATTCCAGTTGCACTGGGAGACTGTGTCAAACCATCGGTGGTTGTGCAAATAGTTTGTTGGAACTGCGTGCTTCTGTTGATAAACACAAGTTAATTCTCACACTTTAATAGTAATTTATATCCCCAAACTGTTGTGACTAAGGAACGTTCAGATTTGATCCACATTCAGTTGCGGTGTGAACGCAGCCTTAATTTTACACAGATGCGTATTTTCTGGTGCCATTTTAAATTGCTGAGCCATTTGAAACTCTTTCCACACACAGAACAAGAATAGGGTCTCACATCTGCATGACTTTTCAGGTGTATCTGTAAATGCGATGGCAAAAGAAATTTTTTATTACACCGATCACAATGAAATCTCCTTACTCCAGAGTGATTTTTTAAATTGCTCCTTTTTCTGAATCTTTTACCACATTCAGAACTCTGCAATTTCTTTCCAGAATGAGCTTGCAAATTACGTTTCGGGTCTCGATATGTGAAACTCTTCTCAAGCTGAAGGCATGTGAAAGACTTTCCTCCAGCGTGAATTTTCATGTGGGAATTAAGGTTGCTTTTTCTGTTAAAACTTTTTCCACACTGTTGGCAGGTGAAAGAGCTTCCTTCAGTGTGATTTGTCATGTGGACTTTAAGGTGTCCTTTTTGAGTGAAGCTCTTTCCACACCGTTTGCAGGTGTAAGGCTTCTCTCCAGTGTGAACTCTAATGTGGACATTAAAAGTCTGTTTATGTGTAAAACTCTTTCCACATTGAGGGCATGTGTAAGGCTTTTCTCCGGTATGAATTCTCATGTGGTGATTAAGGTTTCCTTTTCGAATGAAACATTTTCCACACAGTTTGCAGGTAAAACGGTTTTCTCCAGTGTGAGTTCTCATGTGCCGGTTAAGGTTTCCTATTTGGTTAAAGCTTATTCCACATTGAGGGCATGTGTAAGGCTTTTCTCCAGTGTGAATTTTCATGTGCGAATTAAGGTTTTTTTTTCTGTTAAAACTTTTTCCACACTGTTGGCAGGTAAAAGAGCTTCCTTCAGTGTGATTTGTCATGTGGACTTCAAGGTCTTCTTTTCTGTTAAAACCTTTTCCACATGGATGGCAGATGAAAGAGCTTCCTTCAGTGTGATTTGTCATGTGGACTTTAAAGTGTCCTTTTTGAGTGAAGCTCTTTCCACACAGTTTGCAGGTGTAAGGCTTCTCTCCAGTGTGAAGTATCATGTGCCTGTTAAAGCTTCCTTGCTGCGTGAAACTGTTTCCACACTGTTGGCATGTGTAAGGCTTCTCTCTGGTGTGAACACTCATGTGGCTTTTAAGGGTTGCTTTTTGAGTGAAACTCTTTCCACACTGTTGGCATGTGTAAGGCTTCTCACCAGTGTGAACTCTCATGTGGACCTTAAAGTTTCCATGTTGTTTGAAACTCTTTCCACAGTGCCGGCAGGTCAATTGACTTCTAGTTCCAGTCTTCGGAGTACTTTTTCGTGAGGAAGACTTTTCAGTCTCTGAGCAACTAATTGATTTTTGTCCAGTTATGAAATCATGTTTCTTATACTGATCTTTATCTTGCATTTCATCTAATACTTCACTCTCCTCTTTCAGCGCCATCAGGTCTAGGGCAAAAAGAGACAAATATAAGTTAACCCCTGTTTAAAAGCAACAGTAAAACAGCAAGCAACAATGGCCCCAAATCTACCAATTTTATCCTGGAGAACCACAGTCCTGCAGTTTAGCTCCAACACACCTTTGTCAAAACATTGTCCTTTTAAATAACGTTCAATTTTGCAGAGAAACTGTATTTGTGAACAATATCAGTCAGGATTTAAACACCACTGTAACACGGATAACTTATTAAAGTTATCTCCTTCTTTTAGACCTATCAGATCTTCAACAAGAGAGACCACAACATTCTCTCAGATAGCCTTTGAATTATGTATATTGGCATTTGTGGACAAGCATTATCCTGGTTTAGCTCCTATCTATCTGACTGCATCCATTGTCTGTGCAAATGAAGAGACGTCTCATCAAAGTATGGAGTACCACAGGGCTCAATATTAGGTCCTTTACTTTTCTCCTTCTATGTGATTCACCTGAGAAACATTAGATTTCACTGTTATGCCCATGATACTCGGTTCTATAGTTCCTCACAACTAAAACTATTTAAGTAAGCAGCGTGTATTAATGACACACATGGGGTGGCTAGTAATTTTCTTCTGTTAAATTCTGCTAAAACAGAAGCATTATTTATTGAACCAAAAACATTTTAACATGCTAGTTATGTGGGTTTTTACAGTTAAGAAGTCATGTGTTGTGTTTAGTTCGTCCTTTGATAATCGCAATTCCAACATTTGTAGAAAAACTTTCTTCCGAAATGTTGCAATGTCGAAATGAGTCAATAAAGAAGCTGTAGTTGCTTCAAAATCCAGTGGCTTAAGTGCTTACTAGATATGCTAGAAATAGATACTATCTACTTTATACTAGAAAAAATATGATCATATCTGAATGTAGAATTACAATTCTAATATGTCTTATTTCTTTGCTCCCAAACATTAAACCACAGAAAAAAAACATTTTTAGTGAAAAACCACAGGGAGCCCTTAAAGCTTCTCTTTTGTTGACAACAGATTTATACATGATTCTCAATACAAATTTGGGTAGATCAGGGGTGCAAAACTCAGGGCCACAGCCCTGCAAAGTTTAGTTCCTGTAGGGTTGAAGCTAAACTCTGCAGGGCTGTGGCCTTAACTGAGGGTTCATTTACAAGACACCATTTGCAACAAAAAACTGAAAGCTTTTTATGCATTTTGGCAGTTCCTTTACACAACAACGGCATTTTAGGGGCCTGAGAAAGCAAACTGGAAAATGGGTTTCAAAGTGCAAGTTTTTGAAAACAATGGTGTTATCGTCTCTATGTAAACTACTTGCTCAGCTCGTGGCACTTCAATTCAAGATGGCTGGGTGGAGTTACAAGGTTTTACCAACAGCTTGAGGATCCAGTGGAGTTATGACGTTTATGGCGCTTTTCCACTGCATGGTACGGCTCGGTACGGTTCACTTTTTGGGGGTTTTCCACTGGGTACAGTACCTGGTACTTTTTTTAGTACCACCTCGGTTGGGGTTCCAAGTGAACCGTACCGTTACCAAAACGTGACGTGTAAACTCTGCTGATCACGGATTGGCCGGAGAGAATCGTCACTACCTGC